GCGAACAGCAGTTGTGCTTTGAAGGACGCAAACATCAGTTTATTAATCTTTCCGGAGTAATGACATGCAATTCATGCGGACTGGAAACTTATCCCGTCTTTGTTTGGGTATAATTGCTGGGACACAGCAATTCCAAGAGGTCAGGACAAAAGTAGCATCAGTCATAGGTATGAGAATTTTTGCTACAAGAGAAATATAACAGATTTTGTCCTATCGGGAAAAGAAAAAAATGAGATCGTGAAAAATATTGAGAAAGTTTACAATGCAGAGGAACCCAAAAAGAGGAGGCTCCCTAAGGAGGCTAACTTATCAAATATGTAAAAGACTTGACATAGAGATAGATGAGACTCTACTTAAGATTCCGAAAAGCAGGGTTTCCCATAATCGGTGTAAGAAGATATTTCAAGCATTAGGTTGGGAGTATATTGAGTAATTTTAATGTTCCGCTGAGCATTAAAATTGAAATAGTAATTCTAGGGTGTCGATAACAAGAAGAACCTCAACCGTTATCGGGATCAGAAGGCAGCTGATCAGGCACAGCCACATCAATTTCCGTGGTACTTTCATTATTTTGTTTTTCATATTTTTTTACCATTGCGCTGACGTGACCGATCTGAATATGTGCGCTCATCGTGATGTCTCCTCGTTCAATGCCAATACCCAGGCAAAACATTTTTCTTTTTCAGTGGTTTTTGTTGTACTTCACCCCGTTTGTGATTTCAGGTTTTGTGGACAAGCATCCCATTTTTATTTAACCGGAAAATAAAATGCCATTTAACATGATTATCGTAGGTATGACAGCCTGTGGAAAGACACACTACCTCGTCCAGGAATTGAAAACCACGTTTTTTCATCAATTTGAAAATATATTTTTAATTTGTCCCACCTATCCCTGGAATAGGACCTACGACCAGGATTTCATTCACGAGGATGATAGTTTCTTTGTCATTCCCTGCCGACAGGACGACGTGGAGAAGTATCTTAAATTTGTCGCGGATTTCACGAAGGGAAAGGAATCCCTTATCATCCTGGACGACTGTGCCAGTACCAAGTCCGCGAAGGACAGTACGGGGGAGCTGGTTGATCTTGGGTTTAGCGCACGTCACATGAGTATTTCCACCATCGTTATCACTCAGCAACTGACTTCCATTGCCAAACCATACAGACAAAATATTTCGAAATTGGTAACATTTTATAATCCGAACAGACAGGACATGAAGATTATTTTAGACGAATATCTTTTTGTCGACAGCGCGGAAATGAGATCTATTAAGGAAAAGCTGAAGGAAAACAAATACGCTCATCTTGAGGTAAACTTGGTTCATCCGTTCAATCACGAGGTAAAGATTCCGATGTTATAATAAAAGAGATGGAACCGGAATTACCGACCGCAGAAAATACGGAGATTGAGGACCACAGGGCGGAGCTTATCCGCCTGTCCTAAATTTTCCGGTCTTATGGAAGCCATCAACATGGTGGACAGTGGGGAAGAGCTGAAGACGGAACTAAATCAGGACAAAATGTTCAGAAGTGATGTCAAAAGCGTGGTGGGAAAGCTGTCCCCGTACATACCCTATTTGGGGATCGTTAGCGGTGGAGTGACGACCGTAAAGCATGTTTACCGAAGAACACCCGAACCACCACCACCACCTTCCGAAGAAGAACCAAAGACCAACATTGACAACTAAGTATGAAAATTTACTGAAAATTTACGTGATCCATAAATATTTTTTATTATTTTAGTACTGTACTCCGGTGAGTTGCCCGTTTTCAATTCCGATAACACCGTCGGAAAGAACGAACATGTGACATACGACGTTCGCAGTTGTAGCTTTTTTCGTGATTTCCACCAGTATTTCAGACTGAGTGTTTTGAATTTTTGCACCGTTTCCAAATGTGCTGACATCGTTTACGGTTCTGAGATCGATGACCAGCGCGAACTTTTTGTCTTTGAAAAAGTTGGTTAGCGTTTGATGACTGATTTCACCGGTGCCGAACAATCGTCTTGCCTCTTCGCACAGTCTTGTTTTCGGAATACCTTGAATGTAGACTGCGTTGGGTACACCTTCCACGGTTACCCTAACCTTTTCGATGTTGGGGTAAACATATTCTTCACTGTCTGTCTTTGTCTTGTTCGTAAACAGCATGACGATAGCTTTCATGCTTCTGCGTGGCACGTTGATCGTTTCGCTGATAATGGTGGAGTCCTTACTCCATTCCGTCTTTTTCATCAGGATGACATGTTCGAAAGACAGCTTACGCCGACGTTGTACTGACTTTCCACTTTTCTTGCCAATCCGATGTTGTCGATGGATTTGTACTCCAACTCAATGTTTTCCAGGGTATACCCTTCCACTTTTTCCCCACCCTGTGCGTTCATGATTTCATCTGCCGCTGGTAGGGTTATGACATACTGTAGATCGTTTGCCATATTGTGTGGAGCGTAGAGTCCGTGATCTTTTAGGATTTTACCGATTTGGATTCTTTGTTTTGTTACAAATACTTCGAACAATGCGACGGCATTCACATCGTCGTTTGCAGAATCATCTTTAGGTATTTTTTTCCTTGTGGCTTCGCTAGCAATACCATCCTCCACCATGCTGTCGCGCTGTTTCTTGTGTAACCATAGGTCCTTATAGACCTCCAGTAAACTTTCTCCACTGTTATCGTAAACTTTTTCTCCTGCGAGGCGAATTTCCAATCTCCTTTGGAGTAGTTTTCCTAAGTTGTTTCTGAACCAGGATTTTGTGTTACTGTTCTTAAAGTCGAAGACCAGAGCCATGCTGTACCGTACGAGAACGGAGTCGGCTTTTAGTTTTGGAATATTAACGTAAATTTTTTCTTCAGGTCTGGCAGAGTTGGGGTTGAAGGTTAGGACGTGTCGGATCCTATCTCCGGTGATTTCTGCCTTGTTCATACGTCGGAAATCAGGCATAAGTTCAGCCGTTCGGTTCATTATGTTTTATTATAGTACGAAAATATATTTATTTTTTACGTCTGTTTTGCAAATACCTGAATATAGCTCCTGCAATCACGATCGCCACAATCCACAAATTCTGGGCGAGGAAGGCAAGACCCTTGGCTCCCCAACTTAGGATCGTACTTAACATATTTAAAATAGGTACCAGGATTGGCAGTGCAGCTTTTGCAAACTTTGCCAACGCTTTTCCTGCAGCTCCAAGTCCATTAGCTGCTCCCGTGATAGTCTTCTTTCCGGCCACCACCACAGTCGTAATAATTCCGGCAATGAAGATGGCAATGGCGGCTAACGCCCCCATGTTTCCTTTTGCCCACACGCGGAATCTCTCAAATTTTGTTCGGATGTTGTCCCTTACTATTTCCCTGTACCTGTATTTTCCCTCTTCCGACTTAGGTACCTGTCCCATTTCCAGCCTTGCATCATCGATGGCCTGTTCGGCAACGTTCACTGCCCTCTGTGTGATCTGTCGTCTATCGTCGTCGGTTTCTTTTTCGAGGTTACTTTTCCATTCCTTCATCATAATGTCCATGTGTCTGATTCTTCCCTTCGGCGGTCCTTTAGGAGCAGTTATTCCTGCAAATTCCCTTCTTTCCTGTCCGGTTATTTTTCCTTCACTTTCCAATCTTTCCGCTTGTTCCGCAAGGTTATCGCTTGCGTTGACAGCGTTCTGGTGAAATTCCCCCTCGGCGTCTTTGTAGATTTCCTCCGCGTTCTCCTCTAGCACGTCTCCTCCGGTCTCCTCTTCCACAACGCTGCAGACTTTTTCCTTGTGTTCGATTAGTGCTTTTTCGTATTGCTTTTTGAATGCTGCCATGGACCCGGCAGATTTTTTATTTCCGGACATTCTGTACGCACCACTCGTATCAATGTACCCGATAACGGTTCCGTCGAATGTCAGCTTAGGTATGGTTGTGTCCAAACGAGAGATAAATTCCCTAGAATTTTGTCCATCGGTCGGATCTATTCGGTATTCACTTCTTAACAATCTTCTGGCAAACTCTCCCTTTATGTCATTAAAATTTCCGGTTAAGTACAGCCTATTCGTCTGCTCGTTACTCCTATACGTGTCGTCTTTGTTCTCTTCACAGAAACTAGAGGCTTTTGCTTCATTTAGTCCGTCAACAGTTTGGTCGAGGTGATCGAGGAAATCGTCTTCGTCAATTACCGTTTCGTCCTCACCTCCTTCGGCTTCACCACTACCTTCCGGTCGGTCGTTGGAGAAGTCATTCATCTCCACTGTTTCCATTTTTATTTAAGTCAAAAGATAATTCCTGTTCGTAATATCTTCCTAAAATGTCTTCCCCATCCTCAGGATCCTTAAGGCTGTACATGTTCGGATCTCCCCCAAACACCGCCGTGATGACGTACATCTCGTTGTCGAAATTGGGTTCGTATCCTTTTTCGAACGTTTTATGTTTTATCTCCACCCTGACGTGATCCCCGACTTTGAACTTGGGTTTCGGAAAACTGTCCAGTGGATATCCATAAACCCTGTCCAAACTTCGTCCTTGTTCTCCTCGTTCACATCCGCCGGTTTCATCCCGATCGTCCTGTGCGTGGAATTATTATAGGATTTGACGAGGGTAGGTAGAACGTCCACCCAAACTTTCGTCTTGTTTTCCGTAAAATATTTCCACATTCTTGTTTTCAAAGTCTTATTAAATCTCTCGACGAGTACAGCTTTCCGGAAGGTTCTCGTGGAAAAGTAATGAACATCGTGATCATTTAACAACGTCTTTACTCCTACATTGTAGAATTCCTTTCCGTCGTCGAATTGTGCTGCTTTCGGATGTCTGTCAAACCTTTCCTTAAATTGTGCGAGTACCTTTTCAACGGCTTTCGTCATACTTTCGGTATTTTTTCGCCAGACGGGAACAGCAAAGGCATACCGACTCAGAACTTCTATGACAGTCACAATCCAACTGTTTCCCTTATTCTTGTAGCTGAATTTGCTCATGCCCACAAGGTCCATCTGGATCTGCTGTGCAAGTCCGTCCACATATGTCCTTTGGGTTTTGTAAATGCTTCCTGGATGGTTTGTGAATGATGTACGTGTTCTGCGTTTGCAACCATTCTCTGACGTTTTTCCTGCTGACACCCGGTACACCTTCTTCCTTTGCCTTTTGGTATAGTTTTTCCATCGACATGTACCCACCGTTTACGTTAAAATATATTTCTCGAAGAGCTACATCCAATTGCAAACTCATTTTATTATCGGTAAATAAAACATGAAGAAGATAACGACTTACATCAAGGACGGAGGGATTATCCTAAATCTTCGGGATCCCCTAATCCTTACCCACAAATCCAAACGTAAAAACTGCCGCTGTGTTTTGGAATTACAAAAACGTTCGCGCGGGTTACAACGACTACATTTCCGTAGATGGAAAGAAAGTTACGATGGATGAAGGATATTGGACGTTTAAACAGCTACGAAAAAAGATGGAGGAGAACGGACAGACGTTCAAGGAATATCCAGACGGAAGGGTAAAGATTGACCTCGATAGTGGGACAAAGACGGTGGGACTTCGGAATCTCACGGGAATTTTGGGATACCGATCCTCCAACGGTCCTATATACACCCCACACATCAGCGACCGTCCCGTGGATATTCACGATGGTCTGCGATACATCACGGTCAGCTGTAATCTCGTGAACCGCGAGTACAACATCGGAAATCGGAGTACCATCATCACCTCCCTTCCTATCGACGGAACCACGCCTCTTTTCGGAACCGTGACCAAGTACAATGACATCGAAAGTCAGGTACGGGTGGACGCTGGAAGGTACAACGAAATCCGGTTTGAAATCGGATCCAACACCGGAGTTGTTCCGGGAGATGTTTTGTTAGAACTTTACATCAAATAAAACAATGAGTGAGGATATCTTTCGCAACTACTACGGGTTTTGCTGGAAATGTCCCAGGAAGATGAGGAGGACTACAACTCGGGCGCAAAGTGTCATCTTTGCTCGAAACAGATTTATTCGGACAGCAACTGGATGTACCTAAAAGTCCGGGACCACTGTCATTTTACGGGAAAGTACCGTGGAGCAGCACACAGCATCTGCAATCTGAAAGCAAGGAAACCGGATTTTATTCCAACATTATTTCACAATCTTGAGGGTTACGACCGAGTTTAGCGGTGAACGGGGAGAACGTGACAAGCATTCCCCTGAATGAACAAAAGCACAAGAGCCTATCCAAAGAAATCCTACGATATCATGTTCCTGGAAAGGAAGGTGGGAAAACAAGGGCTTTTAATCAAAGGTTTATCGACAGCACCAACTTCCTGCAATCTTCCTTACAAAAACTGGCAGAGAACATGTCGGAAGATGAATTCAATTATTTGGAAAAATTCGTCGGAAAGGACCCGGTCCTAAAGCAAAAGGGTGTATTTCCTTATGAATACATCGACAGTGCTTCCTCCCAAGGAGGACGTTTTCTCATCGTTGACGAAAAGGACATTTCCGACGAGGATTACGCCAGAGCACAGGAGGTGTGGGAAAGATTTGGGTGTAAGACACTCTGGGACTACTCGGAGGTCTACCTCAAAACAGATATCGCTCTTCTGACAAACACATTCGACGACTTCAAGAAAATGGCTAAGAGTATTTACAGTTTAGGTCCAGTGTGGTACTATACAGCCCCAGGATTATCTCGAGGTTTACCGGGGTAGAGTTGGACCAGCTTACCGATCCGGACATGTACCTTATGATTGAAAAAGGCATTCGTGGCGGAATATGTATGGCTGTGACGAGGTATGCCAAGGCAAATAACATTCACCTGAAGGACTACGATCCACGCAAGAAAAAGATCTATTTTCGGTATTGGGATGCCAACAACCTTTATGGTTGTGCTATGTCAGAACCACTCCCAGTCCGGAATTTCAAATGGATGACGGAAGACCAGTTCGAGAACTGGCGAGATTATCCATGCTTCCTGGAAGTGGATCTGGAGTATCCAAAAGATCTTCACGATCTGCACAACGACTATCCCTTAGCGCCTGGAAGGATGAAGATCGGAAAGGTGGATAAGCCGATATGCAGTCTGAGCGACAAGGAAAGGTACGTCGTCCACCACAAGGCCTTGAAGTTTTACCTTAAACTATGGCAAAAAATTAAGAAGATACATCGCGGAATAGTTTTGATGAGGAGAGGTGGCTTAAACCCTACATTGTGAAAAACACCGAGGAACGTAAAAAGGTAAAAAGTAAGTCGGAAAAGAACTTCTTCAAGCTTATGAACAACGCCGTGTTCGGTAAAACGATGGAGAACGTCCGAAACCGTGTGGATGTGCGGATGGCCACTTCGAAGCAGATCAACAATCTGGCCAGAAAGACAAACTACCAGTCCTTCAACATCATCTCGGAAAACTTGACTTCCGTGAGAATGTAGAGATCGGTCGTGATGCTGGACAAACCCATTTATTTGGGAGCTGCCAATTTGGACTTGTCCAAAATTGTGATGTATGACTTTTGGTACAACTACGCAAAACCCACATGGGGCGATAGGGTCAGACTGATTATGACGGACACAGACAGTCTGTTCGTACACATTGAGACGGACGACGTGGATGCGGACATCCTTAAGAGCGGTTGTCTGTAATAGTCAGGTAAGACGTGTAAAATGAGAAATTCGAAATCTTTCAAACTTTGTCAGAATGCAGGCCTATACGAAGTATTAATGTTGTGAAAGTTTTATTTCGATGGGATAAATATTGAACGAGAGAGACGTCGAAATTGGTTTTCCCAGGCCACTTTCGGTTTTTAGAGGTCATTTTACGGCACAACCAAAATCGCTCTATTTTGCACGATAATGGGAATATTTCACAAAATATGATTTCGTTTTATAAATTAGAGTTATTGATTGAGTAGCAGACGAAATTTAGAACATTTCTTTTAAAAGTGAATATTTTACAGATTTTCTTAATGTTTTTTTATTTTTGAACCTCTTTATTATATGCTATATTAGGCAGCGAATATCTCCATTGTTACATCGATTCAGACAAAAAATTCATAACCAGGTCAAAGAAATATGTTTTCGCTTGCTATTGATGAAATAAAATTTTGGGGCAACTTAGAATTGAATTTTTGACGATTTTTTTCGTAACCCCTATTTTACCCGAATAACCGTATGTTATGTAACCAACGTCGTGTAGTTCAATAAATAACCAAAGAGCTCGTCAAAAGCGTTTATTTTTTCAAGTAAACAAGCCTAGGCCTATAAAACTACCTTAGCTAAAGCTGTAGGTTTGGCAGAAAGCATTTAGGTCTAAATCACACTGTTTACAGTCGCATATTGTTCAGGTAATGCCTATAATATATTGTATAGCCGGCGCCGCTGATTTGGCGGATTTGGTTTTAATTAATTATATTTTATCAGGGATATGCCGCGATAAGTATAGCAAGTATATTTTCCCTTCCACTTCCCATAAACACGTGTTCTTTCACGACTCGTCGTGCTTATAACTTTTCAAACATAAATAGTGCACGCGCTTTTTGTCAAAAACATCGGTCAGTTTACGTTGAAATTGTAATTCGTTTACATAATTAATTTAATTAATATTAAAGCTGGATTCTTTCACCGTGATGTCATGCCAAAAGGTGTCTTTTCTATTCTTAAGGAAAGACTCTCTGTTGATTATGATTTGGTAATATTTATTACAGTTGTATATTTGATTATTTTGTTATTCCTCAATAAGTTTGAATTTGTTCTGAGAAAACAGTCAAACTGCAGACCAAACTTCTACGCAGTTACTTCTTTAGTAGTTTTAACTGGCCATCACTTTTAAAACAGCAAGAAGATAAAGACAACGTGTACGTGTGAGTTATCCATGAAATAAATAGTTGGTTTACAAAATGAATTCCGTCTTCGTGGATAAAATTAATGAGTTATAAATAATCTCTCCTGTACATGTAGGGATTTTTCCCGGTATATTTCTTCTCTTTTGTATGGCTGTTTGTGGTTACGCGTTATCTGACATATACTTTTGGTCCAATTTCAATTACATTTATCCCCCCATTTCTCAATAGTATTTTGAACCCCCCATTATCGCAAAAATAATTTTTGGAACTTTTTCCCAAAAAACGTCGCATTCTGAATCGGCTGGATTAGAGTGACAAGAGCAAATACAACCAACTGGAGAGCAGCTCAATATCAATGTGTTGGTCAAGCTTGGTGGAATTATGTATGTCAATACAGTGCCGTGTATATTTACAATGTTCATACCTGCAAGTTTTTTTTATTATAAAAGTGTATTTTCCTATGCCGACGTTAGCATTAATATATAGGGCTGTTATAATTGATGCCTCGTACCTCGGACCATGCATCTTCAACTCTCTTTTTACGACTAGTGAACGAACAGGCGGAACATCTCGGAGCTAAGATAACCACGCGCGCTATACAGTTGCTGATATAAATAACAAGCGCGCGTGCTATACATTTGCTTAATTTTAATAACAACCGAAATATTTGTTAAATAATCTGTTCTTATAAATATAACGTCTATGGATTGATGTATATTATAGATTACGAACAAGCCAAAATATTGTTTTCTAATATTAAAAGAATTGTTAATAAGCATCGCTTGAAAAATCCGTACTTTGATGACAATTAAGAACTATATAATTTAACTGTAATTAAAAGTGATATCAAGTAAAATGTGTTGACAAACATCTCGAATATAAAGTCGATTAAAATGACCAAGGTGAACTGAAATACAGACAGTTTTGGCTTGTATATCACAAACAGGATTTTTGTACGCGTGTTTGCCTTTGACCGCAACCTCTTCCAATATTATATTAACTAAAACCTGAACGTATTTTCAATTGTAACAAATATAATGAGTTGTTTTGGTGATAGTTATCACATGCTTGTATATTAGTAATTGTTTGTATATTAGTAATCGTTTTAATCAAACTATTTAGGTTGTTATTTCCAGTTTTCGTTTGTCTTTTATGTGAAAATTAAACGTAAGTCTTACCCCTGCGACTACAAGTGTGCATGCGTTCCATACATACATACTGTATGCATCTTCAGCTATTTTGCACATTTTGCGTATGGATAGCGTGTTTTAACACATATTTAATACGTCATCTATTGGGATTTTGTAATATATACATAGCGCGTAACATGCTTTCGTCATGCAGATGTCTGTATCAGCTATGATTTAAATGAATCTTATAAAGAATCAGGGAAAGTTATATGTATCAACACTATGCAAGGCATGGTTTTAGAAAATTGTATGCCGACGTTAGCATTAATATATAGGGCTGTTATAATTGATGCCTGGCGTACCTCGGACCATGCATCTTCAACTCTCTTTTTACGACTAGTGAACGAACCGCAGGCGGAACATCTCGGAGCTAAGATAACCACGCGCGCTATATAGTTGCTGATATAAATAACAAGCGCGTGCTATACATTTGCTTAATTTTAATAACAACCGAAATATTTGTTAAATAATCTGTTCTTATAAATACAACGTCTATGGATTGATGTATATTATGTGCGCGAAAATATTGTTTTCTAATGTTAAAAGAATTGTTAATAAGCATCGCTTGAAAAATCCGTACTTTGATGACAATTAAGAACTATATAATTTAACAGCTGAAGGAAACATCTGGTTTACATTCACCGAGTGATAATACGTGGGTATTTCCTGACCCCTTGATCTTAGTGACGATCATAATTAAATTAAATTAGCAAACCATTAATGCACCAATTCATTAAGCAAATATTCTAGGACAATTAAGAAACAACTATGACACACAATGTTGTGGGAGAAGGGTCGTCGAGGAGAAATGCTCCGATTATACTTTAAACTGTGGCCAAAGTGTCGCCCCACAGACTCACTATTACAGCAATATGATTATGATATAAATATATGTCCTCAGGGGGTTGTGGTTCCCCCATGTTGGACTTTACCCAAGGGGTAGTAGATCCCCGAGATGGGCATCTTAAATGTCCAAGGGGTAGTAGATCCCCGTGATGGTCATTGTTTACTTTAATGTCCAAGGGTAGTAGATCCCCGTGATGGTCATTGTTTACTTTACAATACACTGTATAATACATTGATTTGTGTGAGTCTATGGGGTTGAGGGTGACCTTTGGGAGCACTCCATCCCCAAACAACCAAATATTTTTATTTTTACAACCAGACTTGCAAAGTCAATTCCAATACTGTATATTACAAAATATGGATGTGCCTGTAATAACATATTAACCAGTAAACTACTCCATAATACTTTATCTAGAACATTACATGAATTGCATTTCATGTGAATCTTGATGACAGATTGCATATCAAAACAATATTTACAGATTTTTATTTATTATGTGATACAAGTTATGATATAGTGGTGCAAAATCCTTGAAGGGTGGGATGGGTGGTAATTTTGAAATACTTTGCCGCAGAGGTCATACAATTTGCAAGTGACACAATGAGGAACAGGTGGGAAATTTGTCTGAGCATGCGCGAGCAAAATGAGTCACGCAATTGCGTGGAATACACGCAACGCGTGTTTACAAAAAGGCACAATCGTGTAAATATTGCCAAATGTTTGTACAAAATAAATGACTGTTTTATGTTGAAAATGGACATGATCTAAATTAATCATACAGAATTTTTTAGTGACGTTCTATTTCAGTACCCTGCCATTGTCTCTGGTGGGTTGTCCGTGTGCATTCGATCTGAAACAGTTGCTACTTTGCTGTCGAAAAATTTCGAATGTTTACATGAAAATAGAGGCAAGTCATACATTTTTCAACCTCGTAAAGTACTGTATGAGCCCCTATTTTTACGCTTATACCTAAGATATCAAATAAAAATACATGAAACAGAGAACATTTTTAGAAAGTTTTATCGTGAGGCCACGGCCAGTTTTTAAAATATCTTTATTTCTGTTGCGGTCATCACCAAAATTACATTAAAGCCGGACTTGAATATACAACAAATTTTGAATCTCATCAAGTACAAAAATATTTAATGTGTAACCAAAATATGCTCATGAAATCGAAATTAATAGCTAAATTTTCAAACTAGACCCTTCTCGAGTCGGGTTTCATGAAGGAAGTTAACATTTCGGCCTTTGATTCTTGGCAAAAATTAAACCACAACACGTGCGAAGCAAGTGGGTCTCAAAGACTCAGCTAAAACATTGCGAGCCCCTATTTTCCTGACGATATGTTTGATACCTACAAACGCCGAAAAGTTTTTTCTTTTCATTTAGCTATATTTGAAATTGAGGCCACGGGCTATTTTTGAGAAAATACAGTTCAAAGTCAAGCTATTTTAACATATTTTCAAAATTTGTCAAATTTCGCGAGCTTGTATTTTGAACTTAGACAGCTGAAGTTACATTAAGAAACATAGGATGGAAAATTTGAGGCATATAAAGTTAATTTCAACTTACATTTCATTCTCATATCACGTCTTTCTTCGTTTATTACGGTTTTAAACAAGCCACAGATCGACGTATACGGTATTTACTCCCATGTTCACGTCGCCATATTAACTTCTTCCAATCACTCGATTATAAAACAAATCATCCCAAAACAAAGACTTCATAGTCGACTTTTAAAAGAATAACCGTTAATTTGTAAATCGTTGAATGGAAAGCAAAAAATCGTCAGCTAAAACAGCTTCTTGCTAACTTTCTGCTTTGTTTTGAATGTAAATGCAATGAGCTTTGTTTCTGCCCGCGATTTTTTGGTCAGCGACGACAAATTTCCCACCTGTTTTTGATCCAAGCAGGAAACTATGTAGACGAAGAGGTGAAACCTGATTGGTCTATTTTCCCGCACGCATGGGAAGAGATTTGACAATGGTTTGTTGTTAATTCAGCCTTGCGCTTTGCACGTGTATGATCACACGATTCACAGATTGACCTTTGTACTCCAGGAGACTTTGCACAACTTTACTCTTGTCCTAACGCTTGTTTCATTAACTTAAGTTTATAATGCTATGGGCATGTATAAACTTGCTTTAATGCACCAATTCGTTAAGCAAATATTCTAGGACAATTAAGAAAACAACTATGATACACACAATGTTGTGGGAGAAGGGTTGTCGAGGAGAAATGCTCCGATTATACTTTAAACTGTGGCCAAAGTGTCGCCCCACAGACTCACTATTGCAGCAATATGATTATGATATAATTATATGTCCTCAGGGGGTTGTGGTTCCCCCATGTTGGACTTTACCCAAGGGGTAGTAGATCCCCGAGATGGGCATCTTAAATGTCCAAGGGGTAGTAGATCCCCGTGATGGTCATTGTTTACTTTAATGTCCAAGGGGTAGTAGATCCCCGTGATGGTCATTGTTTACTTTAATGTCCAAGGGGTAGTAGATCCCCGTGATGGTCATTGTTTACTTTACAATACACTGTTTAATACATTGATTTGTGTGAGTCTATGGGGTTGAGGGTGACCTTTGGGAGCACTCCATCCCCACAAATACACAGCATGTGTATTCCCCATAGACGAAAAAACCCAACTCCCACCACAACTGTAATCGTATAGAAGATAGATGATCTTTGTGCTTTTCGAAGACATATCGTCTATATTTCTCTTTCGACACACTTTAAATAATTAATTGATTAAAATCATGTTATATGCAAATAGATTTTTTTTTTTTTTTTTAAACTACAAGTTGATCGTAAGACATATATTTGAG